ACTCCGACATACAACCTCGGAAAGGTCTCACATCCTTGGTGGCTTCTCCCGACCTCTTCCACACAGGTTAACGTCGTCGAACAAAGACTCCGACATACAACCTCGAATAGGTCTCACATCCTTGGTGGATTCTCTCGAGCTCTTCTACACAGGTTAACGTCGTTGAGCAAAGGCTTCGACATACAACCTCGGATAGGTCTCACATCCTTGGTGGATTCTCTCAAGCCATTTTACAAAGGTTAATATCACCAATCAATGTTCTGAGTAAACAATGTTCTCTCTATAAAGACTCCAAGAACGCAAGTGATTGATAAATCTATCACTTATACAAAGAATTCAGTCAGTCTAAAATTTTAAAACAAATATTTTCGGAATTCGGCTGGTCGATGAACTTTTGTCGGTCTTCTATCCGACGTTGCACTTCTACCCGATGTTGGACTTCTCCCTATCGTCGGACTTCTGCTCGTCAGCGGACTTCTACTCGTCGTCGAACTTCTTCTCGTCGATGAACTTTTGTCGGTCTTCTACCCGACATTATACTTCTACCCGACGTCGGACTTCTCCCTGTCGTCGGACTTCTGCTCTTCAACAGACTTCTACTCGTCGTCGGACTTTTGTTTGTCGACGAACTTTGATCGGTCTTCTACACGACATTGTACTTCTACCCGACGTCGAACTTCTCCCTGTCGTCAGACTTCTACTCGTCAGCAGACTCCTACTCGTCGTCGGAAATCTGCTCGTCGACGAACTTTCGTCGGTCTTCTACCCGACGTTGAACTTCTACCTGACGTCGGACTTCTTCTCGTCATCGTACTTCTGTTCGTCAGAGAACTTTTGTCGGTCTTCTACCTGACGTCAGACTTCTGCTCGTCAGCAGACTTCTACTCGTCGTCGGAGTTCTGTCGATGAACTTTCGTTGGTCTTCTACATGACGTCGGACTTCTCCCTGTCGTCGGACTTCTACTCGTCATCAGACTTCTGTTCGTCGACAAACTTTCGTCGGTCTTCTACCCGACGTCAGACTTCTCCCTGTCGTCGGACTTCTGCTCATCAGCAGACTCCTACTCGTCGTCGGACTTCTGCTCATCGACGAACTTTCATCGGTCTTCTACTCGACGTTGAACTTCTACCCGACGTCGTACTTCTCCCTGTCGTCGGACTTCTACTCGTCAGGGGACTCCTACTCATTGTCGGACTTCTGCTCATCGACGAACTTTTGTCGGTCTTCTACCCGACGTCGGACTTCTCCTTTTTTCAACCGTCCGAAAGCCGGGGGAATTAGAAGAAAAATCCCTTAACTCCTGCACGAGAGGAGGGGCGCTAATTCGAGTAAGGGAAATTTCCCACTCGCAAGTAGCGGAAGCCTCAACCGTCAGAAAGCCGGGAGGAGGAGAAGAAAAATCCCCTAACTCTTGCACGAGAGGAGGGGCGCTAATTCGAGCAGGGAAAATTTTTCACTCGCAAATATCGGAAGCCTCAACCGTTAGAAAGCCAGGGGGAGGAAGGAAAATCCCCTAAACTTCTGCACGAGAGGAGGGGCGCCAAGTCGAGCAGGGGAAATTTTCCACTAGCAAATAGCGGAAGCCTCAACCGTCAAAAAGCCCGGGGGAGGAAGGAAAATCCCCTAAACTTCTGCACAATAGGAAGGGAGCCAAGTCGAGCAGGAAAAATTTCTCACTCACAAATAGCGGAAGCCTCAACTGTCAGAAAGCCGGGAGGAGGAAGAAAAATCCCCTAAACTTCTGCACAAGAGGAGGGGCGCTAAGTCGAGCACGAAAAATTTTCCACTCGCAAATAGTGGAAGTCTCAACCGTTAGAAAGCCGGGGGGAGGAAGGAAAATCCCCTAAACTTCTGCACAAGAGGAGGGGCACTAAGTTGAGTAGGGGAAATTTCCCACTCAAAATTAGCGGAAAGCCTCAACTGTCAGAGAGCCAAAGGGAAGAGAGAGAAGAAGAAGAGAAGAAGGAGGAGAAGGAAGAAGCTCCTCCTCGACCACCGCCGGAGCTCTTCCCGCCGCCTGAGGACTCCAGAACTCTACCGGATTTTCGGGAAACGCCAGGAATTTGCAGAACTTTGTAACTTTGTGAGAAGTTGATTGTAAACTGATCGTCTTGATTTGTAAGACGGATCAACCTTTGTACTTCATACAAACACTAGTGGAACTTTACAACTGGGTGAGGCCCTGTGATTTTTCCCTTTTTGGGGTTTCCACGTAAAAACTCTGGTGTTCATTTCTCTTTTCTGCTTATGTGCTGAATAGTCGTACAACGCTAGGACGCAAATTTACAAACTCTACCGCCGCGTATATTCTAGCACGCAACAATATCATAATAAATTTAATAAATATAAATTTTTAAAAAAATTACCTGACTCTATTTTCTTCTCATACATGAGAGAAATTATTACATGCGGAGTCCAGACGGATCCGTCCATATTTGCTAAGTGTTTCTAAATATTTGCCAAGTATATCTAAGAATTTTATGAGTATTTATTGAATATTTTATAAATATTTGCCCAATTATTGAGTATTTACTTAATATTTATTAAGTATTTAGAAATACTCAACAAATACTAATGGCTCACTTTTCCTAATATGAACACATCCTTATCATCTGCGAAATTGGGAAAAATGGCGGCCCCACGTGTCACCATGTTTATCCCCAATTCGGACCGAACTGGTCCGCCCGTCGTTTTATTAGGAATTAAAAAATCAAAATCACAGGGCATTTAACCACTTAAGTACTTGTAGCCGTACTGACGTGTCGACATTTGAGAGCAGTAGAATTATTGAGGAAAAAAAAAAGGTAATTTAAGAATGTTCTAACACGTTTCCTATAAGCTTTTTTCTCTTTTAAATCCTTATATCATATATATAGGTGTAGGTGGAGTCGTACGTGTGCCAAGTCAATTTTCATGAGTTTGGATCTGACTTTGATGTGCAAATGAGTCAAATTTGAATCAAAAAAAATTTTTTTTTTCAAATTTATCATATTTTTATTATTTTGTTATAATAAATATTTGAATTAATTATTTTTTTCTATTTCATAATAAATGAATTGACTAGTGGGTTGGATTGAACTCGTAAAATAAAACTCGAGCTCAAGCTCAAATTTGATTAATTAATCAAGTTCTTCAGAGTTTATTCGAGCTTGACTCAACTCATTTACAACTTTATATTAATAATAATCACATACTATTAAATAAAAATAATTATTTCAATATTTTTAATATTTTTATCATTCTCCTAATTCAAAAAATATATATTTGTTTCATAATTTTTTTTATTTTTTTTATATATTATATTATTATGCACTAGAAATTTTATAGTGACAAAGATAAGGTGCTTAGTATCTTAATTGTATAAAAAGATTTAGCTTGTACAAATAGATTGTAGAAAAGGCATCAAAAATTTTTTGTGTAAAATTTAAAAAGTGAAAAAACTCCTAGATTTGACACACTTGAAAGAGTCAATTTTATTATTGAGGATACAAAAATTTGTTCTTAATAATCGAAGAAGACAGGATTACACAATTTAAAATAATTATATGAGTCCCATTATAAGGATTATAAAAGAAGTTAAGAAGTATAGAAATAATTATAAAATGTCAATTGAGCGATGATAATCTCCACGATTAGACAATGAATGCCAAATGATCGGAATGGATGTTAGTAATTATGCGATCAATGATGGTGATGATTGTTGATAGTAATCATCAATGGCAATCATCAGGCAGTGCAGTATTGTTTTTAAGATCTCTGAGCTCTAGTGGCTCTAGAGTCTCTCTTGCAGAAAGTGAAGCTTTGTTTATAGCCTTTTAAGAGGCTTATATTGATAAATTTCAGAAAAAAAAAATTTGATAAATTTGGTTGGAATAAAAAACGCTCCATCAAATGACTGTTAATTTGCTTGATGATATGTCATTTATATACTATTTGGTTGCCTTAATAATGTCAGAATTAGATAATTTTTGGATTGTTAGATTTATCTCGTTGAGATGCTCAACTTGACTATAACAAGTAGGCAAATTTTGGAGATCATTTTGTTTTATAATTAATATTCTGAATATCTTTAATATACTTCAACTAATTAATATGGGTCGAGTTAAATTGAATCATTTGGGTGTTGATGGGTTCATCTCATCGAGATATACCGTTCCATTATAACCTTGCTAAAATTGGAGCTTGAATGATCCTTAATTTAATTACAAAATTTTGAAGTTAAATATGCATCAAAATTTATGCTTGATTAAATCCAATTTAATGTAGACTTATCACTATTTGAATGTTTAATTTAATAACATATGTGAAAATTATTTTAAGCATAGGTTAAGCTTATGTGAATAGAAATTATGGGGGAGAATTAGTGGGTAATTAATTTTTAATTATTCACTAATCAATTTAATATTCATGGTAATTACTCTTAGCTTTTGCATGTGTAGGAGCACACACACACTTAGGGATCTCCTAGATTTAGGTGTTGAATGTGTTTGTGTGTTCATGCATACTTTATATGTTATGTTAAGGGTTAGTAGAACTTTGATTCAAACCTACAAAACTTAGTGACATTAAGGGCAATAATTAAGGATCTATTTGTAGAAAACTTAGAATATTTTTCAATAATTAGGATTCACCTCCTATTGACTCAAAACTTTGAACACTTTAACGTAGTGACATTCTCAGCCTTAGGGAAAAGTTTCACTGATTTTAGAAATCATTAAGTCCCTTAATCGATTTTCCTAAGTTTAACCCCTAATTAAGCTTTAATTCTTCCAGAAAGTGCAATAAATTTCTAATCAAAATAAATCTCAGAAGTATTAAATTTAATTTAAAGAAATCATAATTTATATTATAATTATCTCAAAATAAATTTACTTATTTTAAATTGATCAAACATTTTATTTGGGAGAAATTTAATAAATTCTAGTTAGCCTACAAATATTTTCTCTTTAAAACATTTCATAAATTTTTGTTTAGTTTAAATATCGAAGTAAAACCTCTCCACTGCATTGCTAATGTCCTCTCTCACTCTCACTGGCGTATAGAATTGCTGCGATAGTGATGGAGAGATTTCGCCACCAGAAATCCATCGGCTCCGATCGATTCCTTGCATCTCTTTCCCCGCCGATCTCTGTCGATGCTGTCGGCGTCGAGCTCGACGAGGACGATCTCTTCTCTACGGGAATAGAATCACCGGAGCCGGATCATCACCCTCGCCTCCAACCCTCCCCTCCGAACCCTATCTCAAACAACAGTCGAAGCCCACTTTTCCTCTCGCGAAGCAGCAGGGGCGGATTACAAGAGAGGAATTTCGGCGTCCTGGCAGCCCTACCTGAAGAAGAAACGAAGATCTATCTTCTTCAACGAAAGCCTTCAATCTCCCTATCTTCTTCGCCTTCCACTTCCCCTTCACCATCGTCTTCTTCTGCAAGGTTGATTCCGGCTATACCAACCCCCAAATTGGACTTCTCGCTGACCGTTGCAGGGGGAAAGATCTATCACCAATCGGCGCCTGTGAACGTGCCTGTGATTCCACAGTGGTTGAGGAAAGAAGCTGGAAACCAAGGCAAGGGAGAAAGAGGGGACAATGAAGGGGATGATGATGAAGATGAGATGCTTCCGCCGCATGAGATCGTGGCAAGGGCATCTGGAAGGGGATCGCCATTGACTACCTTCTCTGTTCTGGAAGGGGCTGGGAGGACTCTCAAGGGCAGAGATCTCCGCCGGGTACGTAATGCTGTCTGGCGACAGACAGGTTTTCTTGATTGATTGTTGAAGCTGATTGCTTTCTGAAATTGAACATGCTTGTATTTTGTATTCATATGAATGGATTATGTATCTGGGAAAGGTATAATTCAGGGGTTTTAAATGTCTGGTCGAAATAAATGAAATTTTTGTCTTTTTAAATGAATTTTTTGCTACAAGAAGCATTTTGTTCATTCTTTAAATTCAAATTTAGTGAATCTTAAAAGGATTAAAATCTGAAAATTATTCCTGGTCAATAAAACGCACTCAGACAAATATTTTCATTAAAAGGCCCAATCATAGGCTCAAAATCGAAGGTAGAAGAGTTGAATAAAACTGGTGAGTTATCCAATTAGCAAAACTCTAGCTCGGCAAACATGAATGCAAAGGTGAATAGCAGAGCAGCAATGCATCAGCAAAAAGCCGAACAGCAGAGATCCTGTTCAGTAAAAAGAAAAGGAATATAGTATGTACAGAGCTCGGCCCAACTAGAAGCAGTAGATGGGCGGACCAGTCTTTAAAAGTAGCGTTAAGCATAAGATTTTCAAGTTCAAACACCGAACATACACGCATCTGAGAGAAATCCGAAGATTTTTTTTTGGGACAAAATCCGAAGACTCATATGATGGAAACAAATAAAATTTGAAGCCAAATTTTTTTAAAACAGGATTCGCAACACGTTAAAAATCGTCATTTCTTGTTCTCCAAATATGATTTATACTGATTGCAATACTCAACTTGTTGATGTACATATTGGATCCAAAGTTGGCAGTTGTGGTTTTTTTTTTTCTTTGAAAATGATGGTTCCCTTCTGATTTTGAAAATTCTCAATGAAAACTTTCACAAAAAACCTTAAATTCCTGAAGCACCTTCAACGTTTTTGTTCGGCAAGATGATGAAGCATCTCCAACCGAACGCTAAACGACTGTATGGAGTCGTTCCCTCGCTCCAACCGAACTCTAAAATTTTCGCCATTTAATCGCAGGTGAACAGTGCGACGCCAATATTGGCGTCGCACTGTTCACTCACGCCATTTTTTCTCTCAACCCGAAAAACGCGCGAAAGGGAGAGCGATCGTTACCTTCTAAAAACATCTAAAATGGCGTTCGATTGGAGCATCCCGCGCCATTTTGGAGTTTTTGCGTTACTTTGCCGTAAAAAATGAAGTTTTCGGTTGGAGATGCCCTAAGTTACTCAACAGAGACAAATATGGTATATTAAACCAGAATGCTTGTGATTACATGAGACTCAATATCTAACCTAAGCAAGAAATGAATATTTGATCAAATATTTGTATGTTTTTATTTTTGATGGATGTTTCTTAATAGGAGATTGATGTAAACACTTATGGTGTGGGCTTTTGAAATATGATTGCATCTTTTTATATGAAAAGTATAATACATTCTGCTGCCGTACTTAGACTGAGCTTATATTATGGGGAGAGATAGGGAGATGCACATACTATATATTTTCTTGAACTAATTTTGACAGTATATATAGGGAAGCTAAGTATGTTCTAAGTTGTTTGAAGGTTGTATGGTACTCATCTGACCATTGAAAACTACCATTATGGACTCCTCTCAGAAGCTTGAAGATTGATACGTATTTATTTTCATAGTGAGGAATAAGTGAGATAAAGTTGTAAATATTTCATAAAGAGAAAGTACCTCTTTAGTGTTCCTCGGGTATATCATATCCTTGTATTGTAATCTTCTTAGGATTGGCATCAATTCCATAATGAATGATTATGAATCCTAGAGATTTTCTTAACTTAACTCCAAAAGCGCACTTAGCTAGATTAAGCCACATATTTTGATGTTTAAATAGGTAAAGTATTGCTCCAAGTCAAAGATATGCTGTGATTTTTCTTAAGCTTTTCACCAACATATTATCAATATATGCTTCCATTGTGCATCTTATAAGGTCTTTGAATACATTATTCATGATATGTTGGTAAGTAACTTTAACATAACTCTACTAAAAAGTAATGATGTGTACTAGTGTAACCCTTTATCTATCTAAAAAAAAAGTTATCCCCTCATACACAAGGTTCATCTTTGTTTGATAAAAACTAAAGTATCTATAAAGCTCACATTTGATGTCTAGATATAGTATCGATAAATTGATCTAGGGAGTGGAAAACAAATTTTTTTGGATAAGCTTTATTAATGTTAGTGAAATCAACACACAATTTCTAGGCCCTTACTAGCCTTCATAATTTTAACAAAATTTGCCAACCAAGTAGGATAGTGCACCTCTCATCTGAATTCAACCTCTAAGAGTATATTGATTTTATGTTCACTTGCTTATTGGCAATTTGGTGTGATGTTTCACTTTTTTTGAACTAATTTACATACGCTTCTATATTGAAATAATACATAATTATTTTAGAGTCAATCATCCACATATCTATTGGATAATAGGTGAAAATGTCATTGTTCATGAATAGAAAAATTTCCTTATTATAGCTTATGCTCATTGGAGTGTAATGAATTGACTTATATTATCTATGAAGGATATATATGAAGGATGCTTGCTTATTCTAAGGATACAAGTTAAGTATTTCATAGAAGAAGCTCTCTGAGTGATGTCTTCATCTTGGAAGTCAATTAAAGTTTACAATGCTAAGGGTTACTAAAGGGAATGCTTGAGCTTGTTTAAGATAATATAATTATTCTATCTGCTAATTTTAATACACTGCACTAGACCTAGCTGGAATTAGGAACTTTAACTTAAGGTGCAATGCATAAGTGATAACATCAATGATTGACTGGAGGGGCATCTTAATGATGACTTTGTATGTTGATTCTAATTTAGCCAATATTAATTGGTTCGAGTGAGACACTTATAGGGGGAATTCCCTAAGTGTGTTGGGGAAAGTAACTGTTCCTTCCACTCAAACTAGTTCATTATCAAACCCATATAATTGTTGGGCAATATGTTGAAGCTTGTCCTTAACTAGGTCAATGCTAAACAATGTGGAGTAGAACTAGACATCAATAGAACTCACATTGTCGATTATAATTCCTTTAACATTGTAGCTTGATTCATTAATCCTTACATTAAGGACAACTGAGTCTTGATGTGGGATTTTGACCCCCTTCAAGTCAGTGTCATTAGAAGTAATAGAGTGATTAGCACAAGATTTATTCTATATTGGTTCCTTAATAGTGATGATAAAGACTTGGTGGATAATAGTGTGCCTCAAGTGGTAGTTTTAATTTCACCAAATAATTGATGATTGTCTTATTGTGTTTTTATATTGGTAGCCCCTAATGGGAGCAATGTCCTTATGAGTGTGTTGGCTTTGTAAGAATCATACAAGTTAGTCCTATCAAATCAACCTCTCAATTACTTTCTTAAGTTCCTTGCAAGCTTCAATCGTGTGTCTGTGACTTTGATGGAAATAGTAGTATTGCTCTTGTTTTTTAAAGTTTGATTTCAATAGATTTTCCCACTTAATAGATTCTTCATCTTGGATGCCCATTAAGATATAAGTGTGTGATGTGTTGAGTGGTATGTGCTTTTCTTCGTTTAGGGCTCATGTCATTAGCTTGATGGTCAAGGGGGGAGCTCATGGTGCCCTTCTATTCTTTCTTTTTTTATTGTGATGATTGATCAACCCATCTTGGTGTGTTATTATGCTTACCCATAGGCTGCTCATAGATAGGCATTAATAACCTCGTTGGTTGAGATTTGTACTTCTATATAGTGGATTAGGTCAGGATAGGAGAGAATCGTATCCCGCGTTGATGATGAATAAAAGAACCACGATAGAGCCATCTTAAAAAGATCTCTTTTAACAATTTATGACCTACTCCTAGGATTTGACGAGCTTCAGAAAAGAACCTCTGAAAGTACTTTATTTTCTCTCCCTAGTTCTGATGAATTCGTGAGAGTTGAGAAGAGTCATTTATAATACTTTGAATTATAATGATTTATTCAACAAAACATTTTTTAAGTTTTACAAAGGTTTGGATTGTTTCTCCTATAAGAGAATTAAATCATATGTGAGCTCATCCTTTGAAGGCAGTAGAGAATACTTGATGAAGGAGCACATCCGAGGTTCGTTGAATGTATATGACGATCCTATAGTGATTTATGAGCTTGTGAGGGTTGGATGCCCAATCATAAGAGTCTATGTTTAGTACTTTGAAACTTTTTAGAATGTGGAGTTAAAGGATATATTCAATTAAAGGCAAAGACTCTTAAAAACTATATCAAAGAGGGAGATAAGTCACATCCCTTAATTGAAAATTCCTCTTACACCAAGCATCATAGTTCGTTGCATAGAATATTACAAGGGGTATTAGTGAGGTGGGGTCTGGTCATGTTCTTAATGATTATGGGAGGACTGCAACTTAGCATGGCTACACATGATGGATGGGTAGAGTTAGCTACATTAACGAGATCAATGTCCTGCTGTGATAGAGGAAGAATCCTTTCTTATGGTGTGGGGGCTTTGTACATGTATTCTCAAGCTAAGCAACCTTGACTTGTAGTAGATATTGAGGGAGGCAGGTTACTTAGTTTCGTGTCTGCATTGTCTATTAAGTCCCTCACAGGAGCTAAAAGAATTTATTTTGAGACAACTCTATTTTGTAAATGTAATTTTTCAGCGATGCTCCCAATGTACTTTCACTAGTAAGTTTACGCCCATAGAAGTAGATAGAGATATAGTATTGACATCTCTGGTTCAAATATTGGTTGTTGGAATGATGAGTGTTAGAGTAGGAGGCTTCATTGTTATAATTGTTATGTTTGTTGGCCATCTAATAATAGGTGTTTTTAAGGCTTATAATGGTCATAGTGTCTTTCGATTGATGGTGCAAACTTATTCAATGTTAGAAATTTCACTTCACTGGATTGAAAGAATTTTATAACATAGCTTTGCATGATGATCCCATGCACAAACATATAAATGAAAAGAGCTAAGAAACACATTAGGGTTTTACATGGAATTCTAGAAATGGGAAAAATTGTGGAGCCTAGCCAAGCCGAAATAATTCCACTATGTTATGATTGATTATAAAGATTTGTTTAATCCCTTTATTTGGAAAAGGAAAGATTACAAGAGTATGAATACAACAAAAACATCAAGCCTTTATCCCACTATGTGGGGTCGGCTACATGATTCATTTTTTTTCCATTGTCTTGTTAAG